TGTTGGCTCTGCAGCTCAGAAAGCCAGATACCAGTGGGGGCAGGACCTCATGATGTACCAGGGTAAACTTCCTGTATGTACAGTGTGAACTTCCTGTATGCCCCCTTTCATAGGCCTTGGTCAGTTGTCCTAAATTATGAATACAGTCAAGTGATTGGCTGAGTAATTATGAAAATCATGCTGATTGGCCCTTCGGCAGGTGCTGCAGAGCTCCCAGGGCGGTATCTCACAAAGCAGGATTTCCCAGTTAGTTGGATAACTTAAGCCAAATGTGAAAACTGTCCAATAGAAAGAGAGGTAAGTGGCAATACCGTTGGATAAGCCTTACATTGGGCTAATCTGGCTAATAAAGAAAGCCTGCTTTGTGCAATACTCCTAGGTAGCTACCCGCCCTGGACAGTCTGGCATGATCGGTCCGTCTTCGAGTTGCTACCTAACGTCACCGGGGTCTGTCCTCCCCACCCCTCACCTCCCTACAGGTGAAGCTGGACGAGCGGGTGATGAGGACCGAGCTGGGCTTGCTTATCCGCTCGCTTCAGCGGCAGGACGCCGGCACATACCACTGCATGGCGCAGGAGCACAGCTTCAGTCGGATCGTGCTGCGGCTCGGCCTCCGGGTCATCGAGCAGGGCCAGATGGAGCCGCGGCCGGCCACCCAGCGGGACGACGTGGCCACAGCCGCGGCCGGGGCCCGTCAACGCTACAAGGACTACCTGCGGCTGATGAGCGGCCCGCAGAGCAGCGTGGACCAGTACTGCGAGAGCGTGTGGCTCCGCGAGCGCAAACACGCCCAGAAGGCCCGGCCCCCCGCTCCCGGCAAGTGGAAGCTCCTGCGGGAGATGAAGAAAAGCCGGAACCGGAGGCACCATTCATAGGGCCCGGAACCTCCTGCAAAAAAGACGCCTGACTAAAAGATGGACGTTGCGAGTCCTTTCCTGCAATAGCTGCGACGAAGCAGTATTTATGTTGAATAATCTGTAAATAGTCCGTATAGCTGTACAGGTGAGCGTGGGTTAGTTAGGGTTAGAAAGTCCGTTGGGAATCTGATTATTGAAACCAGACAGGGTGAATAGGCTAGAAGCGTTTTTTTTGTACAAAGCTTTTTGTATATTTTATATTTTATTTAGGTAGATTAATTTTTCTAAATGGTATTTATATTTATTCCTCATTTTAGCTGCTTTAGCATTAAATATTTTAACTTGTCGTAGTTCCTCTGTATTGTCCCGGAAGATCCATTATGATTTTATAAATTTTATATTTCCAGCAAAAATAGATTCTGTACCCACATATTTGCTGTAAACCGTAAATGCAGACACTGCGGCGGTTCTTGGTTTATTCCGGACAGCCAGTCACACTGGAATTAAGAGGAGTTTCCGTTTGCTGCTGAGAGCCGCAGTTGAGGAGCTTAAGGAATCCCAGTTTGGCTGAAGTCACAACGCCAGCGTTCCGTTCTGCGCTGAAGTCAGGCTCTCGATGCTCAAAGCTGATCCTGGAAACATCCTTCGAACCCGATATGCCAAGCGACTCTGCTGGACTAAGACGTGGAGCGCGGTTCCTGAAACCAAGTTTCCAAAACTCACTCAGGTCATTTTTTGGTTGTGTCTGAGGTGAGATCTCCCGTGACCTAAAGTCAGGCTTCCTCATCATATGTTACAGTACAGGGAACCAAAGCTAACTCAGTCGTCATGTAATCCAATGAAGATCTTTTATTAAATTTGACTGGATGACTTTTGTAAATTTGCTCTTCAATTCATCCAATCCATCAGTTTTCTTGTTTATGCTCTGTTCCCACCCAACGCTGTACATTTAATGTAACTTTATAAATAACATGCTGTCCTATTTTCTAACTGCCAATAAAAGGAACAAAACACCTGGACAGAAGGTCGGGGTTCCTGCAGATTTTTCTGGAAGCATGATGCGCACGTATTGGACGCGCATTGGGTGGGAGGCCGGCTCGCCTGAGGGGTGCTGCCTTCCCGCCCGGATCCCCTACGGTCGCTCTTTATATAGAAACCGCGGCCCTCGGACGCTAATGCAGGATGTCACCTCAAGTTGCTTTCCATCTGCTGCCGACGAGGTGCAGCGATTGCGCCATGGCGGGTTTTCTTGCGGGCGGAACGTTTGAATGCCGCTTTATTCTCCGTTGTTTGGTGCAGCGGGATTGCGAGTTCACTATTTGGGGATTAAAACAATTCAGTGTAATCTTTTACAACAGATTCCTAGAGTTCTTGTTCACCACAGCCTTTGTCCAAGTGGGTCGCAGGGGATTTCGTTTTTTATTTAGATGACACTTTTATCGAAAGCAGTATACAGATTTAAGAAAGCTGGGTTAGATAGTCCTTTGGGGGTTAAGAACCTTGCTCAGGGGACCAATGGTGAAATCACCCTGGCGACCTTGGGATTCGAACCAACAACCTTCTGACTGTCCTAACTCGCTGAGCCACAGACCAATATGTGGATGAGGTGGGAGTGCATTTGGAGCTGCCTGTGTGACCCGTTACCCAAACTGAAAAGCGAGTTTCGGACCAGGTCTCCCCTCTCAGCTGAGCGTGATTCATGCGAGTCATGCAGTATTAGTCATTTCCGCTATGAATGTTTCAGGATGACTTTTTAACGAGAGGAAATTAAAGCTGGTTTGTTTTTAAAACTACGGTAACTATGCCTGTAGAACCAGTAACATAAGGACTTTGGAGATGGAAGAAGGTGAATTTAATATTAAAAATTACATGTGAAATTTGTTTTTTCCTTTTCCATCATCAGGAATGAAAGAGCTGTAAAGCTTTCTAACCATATCCAGGACTCAATTTCTTTAATCTGTTTAATTAGTGAGGGTTAATGCAGAAGAAGCTGCGCTTTATATGTTTTTAACTGCATGGCTGCTCAAGGCACAGAACCATGCGACATGCAGCATCACATGCGGAGTACATTAAATAACAGAATGCACAGTGCATCAACCCACTTACACCACGGTCACCACACATTTAACTTGCATGCTAGTACCTAAAGATTATTTTCACATGTACAAGTTGGAAACGCATTTATTAGCAGAACAACTTGCTTCTGCCCTTGGTTAAATGTTTCTGTTTATTGTCCGTCACTTTTAAATTGCGTTGTACTTCTGGAATTTTAAGTAACGTTAGAATTAAAGATTATAATAGTGCATAGATTTATCGCTGTGATTCTCCTGACTGGCACTACATGTGCGCTTATAGAAAATGAAACAGCGGCTTCCTGGCCAATCAGATTTGAGAATCCAACAGTGCATTGTTTTAAATTGACTTAGCCGCTATCTTTAACTGTGCACCTGAAAGGACTAGTAATGTAATAAAGGACTGAATTGGGCAAATGAAAGAAGCAACGCACTCTTCAGATTCAAGTCTCGGTCAGCAGACAGGACCCCCCTCAGGTTTTTGGCCAGCATTGACCTTCCCGGATTGAAAAGGTCACTTGTGTTCCCTGAGCGAGGCCATCTGAACCCTATCAGCCGTGAACGCCGGCCCACACGTACACTGGTGACCTAAGTTAGTCACGCCTGAGGTGTCTTACCCTCCTCCAAGGCACCGTGATGATGAACATTATAGCTACCCAAGGAAGAACGGTCCATCGTCACACACTTTAATACTTGCTGTGGCGGCTGGATGGATGAAGGGATGTCTTTATCTTTAATCGCTGAAGTTTAATTTTTATTTGAGTATGGCGTTATTAAAATTCCTTTGCGAATACCTCCGACTGATTTATAGGTGTTTGGCTTGTTTCAGAAGGAGCAGATCCTAGGTTTCGTTCTTTCGGTTAAGCAGAGATATTTCACTTTTGGGACCTCGGTTTGTCCGCCGGTGCCGCTGCGGTCTGAGAGACGGAAAGCCTTTCCGCTGTGCCTGTCCTGGATTCAGCCTTCAGCACGGTGACGGAGGTCGGTCGGTTCTGGCGTGCATGTGACCCCCGTCCAGCCGTGTTGGCATATGCCGCACAGAAAGCTCCCCCAAGGGCCTGACCTTCACAGTGTCCACATACCCTCTGGGCACATTGCTTCAAATTCCACAGAATCTCCCTGTTAAACACCTTGCCTCCATGCTCAAGCGCTCCTGACTCAAGGACATGTTGAATTTCTTCCATCTACCTCCGCCGGCACTTTAAAATCCCCTCACGTTCATCTGTGATGCCTCTCAGCCACTGACGTTAAGTGTGTTTTTGTACGGAAGTAATGGAGTTGTAAGGCCCGGTCTATGTGTCCGGCGGCGCAGCTACGTACCTCTTCAGGTTTATTCCTGGCTTCTCAGGCACACAAGTCATTTCGAGTCCCTGAGCTTCGAGATCTGTTGAGGACCAACCCATTCCTTCACCTTTTGCATGCAGCCATGTTCCTTGGTTCTCTAATCGATTCAATTCAATTTTATTTGTATAGCACATTTTCAGAACATTACATTGTCTCAAAGTGCTTTACAATATCCCTGCTCTGCATTCTGAGGTAATTGTCCAATCAGTTTACTTCAAATGATTATGTTCATATGCTTTATTTTTAGTAATACATTCTTCTTCTCTTGGAAAACAGATGATCTATTTTTCAGTCGGTGCATTCAGGGGTTCCTACAGAACTGTGTTTTATTTATCGCCTGCTACCCAGTTGAGACATCTTCATAAGAAAGCATCCTGACAAAATCAAAAAAAGAATGAGGATGATGTCATGTTCCAGAGGACCCCATAGGTGCCTAAATCAGTGCCTGTGTTGTGTAGAACATGCCTGCTGGCTTTATTTGAGCTAGTTCTTGTCCTTATTATTCAAAAAAAGAACTTAAAAGTATTTCTTGGTTAGAAATATTCAAAGGAATATTTGGTCAATCAAGCAGCGAATGATCCTGACAGTCATTAACATTGAAAGGAGGACATTTGTAAAGCCATTAGGGTATACGGTGACCTGGGGATAAGGTAATAAAAAGCCAATGGTGCAGAAGAGAAATTATCCACAGTAACGTCTTGTGAAGCACAGCTCCGTTCCCAGTTGGCTGGGACACCAATAACTCCAGACCCTGGCTCTGCAATCGGCTCCCATCACCGAAGGCACTGGGGGTGAAGTTGTTTGATTTAGTCCACCGGGACCTTTAAATTTGCCGTCCGTCTTTTAATGAATCAATCGTTCTACGGTTAACTGAACAGCAGAGCGACTGCGGGCGTGTGAGGATGAAGCAGCGGTCCATGAGCAGCGGCGGAATCGCTGCCGGTTAAACACCTGCCTCCCAGCACCAGAACTGATATAAAACCGCAAGGTGAATTCCCGGAGGTCGCGAGTAAATGGGCTGCTAAACTCAGAGGTTCGCTCCCGTCTTGCTGCAGTCGCAGTACCTACATCAGAGTGATGTGGAACAGCATCTAAGGCACCTCGACTAAGCAGGACAATGAAAATAACGTGACCGCCGCCTAATTCTTAGGCTGTGTGTAACAGTAACGCTGCCGTCCAATTTCCCCCTAGAAGCAGGTCGGGAACATGAGGAACTCTGCAATTACAGACCTCGAATGCTCAGCTCAGAGCGAATATTTTGTAGAAATTATTATTAACATAAATGCATTTATGTGAAGATGTCATAAAACAAAAGGGCATGTGTTACATTAACTGAGGAAAAATGATAATTAGCACTGTAAACTATAAAAGAATAATGAGGCAAATAAAAAAAGCCTTTTCATCATCCGTGAATATCCTCTGAAACTCAGCTGCCAGCAATTTTAAGTAGCGGTTCATTTGTTTATATCCCACTCTTTATATAAGCTTTAAGACATCCCATAATCTGAATGACATGTCTGTTTCTTACAAGCCTTTGGTACCATTTCAGATGCTGCATGGCGACACAGTTTGGCAGGAATGTAACTGCAAACAATTTAAGTTAAATACTTTGGTTTTGGGGTTTTTAGCCTGGAATCCCTTTTACAGCAAGGTCATTTCCCTCCAGAAGAAATGTCATGGTACTGAAGAGTGCAGCCCCACATATAGTGGTGCGGTGGGGATCTTCAGTCTTAAAGGCGCAGTACGTGTCCGGTCTGGGTGCTATTATAAATGCTCTCTGATGACTATCAAATAATAGCACTATTTATGTATTTATGACAGTGTTTTTATATTTCTGAGATATTTGATGTTTCCCACAGCTGTTGACCCCCCTGCAAACAGACAAAAGTGAGTTGACCCGGGTTTAATAGCTTTCCGGTGGATGATTGAGGAGGAGAATCCCAGAAGACTTCAAATAACTGGGAAGGTAAGATTTAAATGGCTGTCATCGGGCTAATTAGGCAGGAATCCTGTCCACCGTGGCTTTGGGTCCTCCCGCTGAGGTGGCCCAAAATCAGCCAGAGCCGGGCACCCAGCTGCCAGTGGGCGTCTCCGCTCGGGCTTCTCTGAGGTGTCCTTGATGAATGACTAGCCTCGGGCTGATGTAGTCCTCACCTTTGAAGCTCTCCGTTGACATAACCCATGCATTTATAAACCCACGATGGTTATTAATAGCAAAAACATCAAATGAAATTGCATGTAAATCATTAATATTCATTACCTGTTTTTATTAAAGAGGCCCCCTGTGGTGACTGTAAGCTAATGCTATCCGCGCCACCCTGATAGCGGTATGATGTCACACCCCTTCAGGGTTGACCGTAGGATGGACAGGGGATGCTGCCTGGATGAACCAAAGCCCTTTTGGTTCTGCATGCTTAAGGTCCTTCGAGATTAAGACTTCTACTGGTCAAAAGGTCATTCACAATGGCCTTTTTTTAGATTGCTTTACATTTTAACTTATGTTTATTTTATTTAGCTATTTATTTAGGAGAAATTGGAGGTTAGGGGCCTTAAGTCAAGGGCCAAGCAGGAAAATCACTCTGCTGACTATAGGATTTGAACCTGCAACCTTCTGATCACTGACACAGCAGCCTAACCTACAGTACTAAAGCACACACCGTTTTCTCCACTATGTGGAGACTGTTGTCGTTTCCCTGTGTATCATAAGTTGCAGGGAGATCACGTCCTCTGAAGCTGGTGCACACGTTGAAAATATTAGCGCGAAACCCAGAAAATGCTCTCATGAATCATCGCTCAATCAGCTTCTTAGACCTCAGGGGCATGTTCCTGATCTGATACCCTGCAGATAAACAATGTTGGGGGAGCCAAAGAAAAGTAACCTTGAGAGGGTTTTCCCCCCCCATCAACAAGCCCGGAATTAAGTCATCACAGCATGTGTCAAGAAAGAATGAATATAAACCTTAGTATTACAGGGCAATTACCTGCATACAGGTGTTTGTGGCTGTCAGGTGATAAGTGTGCCTTTCATATGCGGGCGCTGACTCCGGTGTGGTGGTTTATACGGACGATACCCCCAGGCAGGGGGTGCCGGAGGAATGTGCGATTCTGAAGGAAACAGTTGTTCTCTTGGAGCCTGTAATGACTGCTTGCGTGAACAGCAGCTGATTTATATCTGTACAGCTCGCCTCTGATCTCCGTCAGGGCACGCAGGCACCAGCAGGCACCGTCATGGCTGTTCACTTGGGTTTGCAGCTCCCGCTCGATCCGTGTGGAGTCTCTGAATGACCATCGTCACCTCGTTTCAGCCCGAGGAGATCGTACGGTCCTCTACAGTAAGGTTGTGTGCTCTATCCTCAAGGTTTAGAAAGTGTATTTGCTAATTTTATGGAAAAATTTGACATTTCCCTCCAGATTTCCTTTCAGCCACTCCATTTTTTGTCTCGGTCCCCCAGTAAAATTTTCTAAATTCATGAGTCCATCTAAGGGCCAAATTCTAGAATTCATCCCTGTTCCAGCTGTGTTAAAATCTAATCTTCGCATCTTTACTCGGCAGACTTATAGAAGTCATTTATGCGAGACATCCAATACTGTGGAGAAAATATGAAGAAGGTTCTTTGTCTCTGAATTGACATGTTGTGTATCTGAAACTTCTTCAGGTTCTCTGTTTGACATCAGCGTAAGAGGTCATTCCCATACTGCCAAACATTACTGATTGCCGGGACGGAGAGACACTTAAGCAAGTTTGTATATCCATGATAAATAGCAAGAGGTCAAAGGTCACATTGGACCACATTTGTATCTTTCTCCAAAACTGTTTTGAGGACAACCCCTCCCAAGTTTCACTGCTCAGATATGAATGGAGCTTCTGTGGGTCCCAGATTGAAAGGAAGGCTTCCTTGTTGAAAGCCTAAATCAAGGTCTATTCATGCAAGACCTGTTGAAGCGTGCCCTCAAGGTCACTGTCCAGAAATGCAAAGAAAAGGAACCTCATGATTGGTCTTCTGCCACTTGACACTGCACAAGCAATGTTTTCTGAATCTATTTAAAATCTGTTACGTAAGAATACAATAGCTCTATGTCTTTCAAACATCCCCTCAGAGTTAAAAATTCCTTGACACCTTATCTGGTCTTGTCTTATCTGACGCACACATCCAGAGGTCTTTTAAAGACGTTCTGTATAATGATGATGCCTCGGGGACCTATTTTTCTTGTGTGTTAGAGGATCTGACTTAGTTGAGGGTAAGACACAGTCATGCATATCAAGGACTTGGATTGAATGTTAGAAAAACACTTCGGCATGAAATGTTATTTGTCAGCTCGAGTCGCATTCGAATTCGCAGCAGCCACGGCAACGGCCGAGAATGCTGATTGGACGCAGCAGATGGGAACTCGTCAATGGAAAAAATTCTTCAGGACGGCAGGGTACCAGACCTAGTCTTTTCCAATGCAGTGTCACCACCGGAGATCTTGCTGATTTACTGTAGCCCGCATGTTTGTGCTCTGTGTGCTAAAAGGGGCATCCATCCATCCATCCATCCACCCATCCACCCATCCATCCATCCATAAGTTGATAAACTGTTTTTTTAACCACAATCCTCTATGTGATATTTTGGTTTGAAGACTAGAGGATACATGGTTCATTTGCTGATGATCACTATGCCCAGTATTCCCTGCATTCTCCTCATATGCCGGTGGACTGTGCTTTGCTAGATGACGCACGACGCATTGCTTGCTTTTGACGCACCAGGGCGTTTTAGGGACACTCCTGTGAAGGTAATTAGTGCAGCTGTTTTGTGTTTGCATTTTTTAGCTAGGGCCCTCTATGCCTTTTGAAGGCAGTGTTTCTTCTGACCAAATAAACTCCAAATTCACTCCTGCCTCAGTCTCAAATGACACAAATTAAGTCCATAATGTCCGGCACAAATGAAATCAATCCAATACGGTATGTACACAAATAATTAATTGCTGTAATAATTAGGTAATTATAAAAATTAGAGACAGCCAGTGCCTGCGATCAGTTGGTCCGCAATTTCAGCCCCCCCCCTGTGAAAGCTGGGTGTGCCTCAGGCTTTTTCTGATTGGATATAGTGTTTCTGACCCTGGAGTGCGGCTGGATCCATATTGAGTTTCACAGAGGTCATTGTCACGTGTATGTGCCTGTGACGGCCCTTTGCAGAGGTCATCTGGGCCGTGAGGGGTCACTGAGGGGTCACCGATGGTGCAGGTATACAAGTCTGGTGCAAGTCTACCTCTTAGCTACCTTTATCCAAACCATGGTACAGAGCGCCTGAGTGTAATATGTACCATGTCACCTCAGATATATACAGGAAAGGTTATGTTTATGTTTTTAAAGTTAATGTTTTGTGTCGGCCCTTCGCATTGAGGCTTGAATCGTAAAATTTGGACTGTTTAGGCCATCTTATCCATTTGACTTCCTCTGCCAGCCCCTGGAGGATGGGCTCCCCTTTTGAGTCTGGTTCCACCCAAGGTTTCTTCCTTCTAGGGCTTTACTCACTGGGGCTTTGGGTAGGAATAACGTAAAGTGCTCAGAGACAATGTAATGTCGTGTAAATGCACTATACAAATAAAATTTAATTGAATATTAATTAAGGGCATTTGTCTTTGCTGAAGGTTATTACGCACAGCGTAAGAGCAACATGACTGGTGTTATTGCACTGAGAGGCGGGACTAAAGGGAAGCAGGATATTAAAGGTTTGGAAGTTTTCCTGGGATGTATTGGGTGTCTCAGATTCCAGTTGACCTTATAAAGCCATGCTGGAAGGGTATTTGATTTGAGTGGTCTGAAAACTTCTGAATATAACTATAGCTTACTACAGATTCAGAAGGTTTCATTCTGGGGTTGAGTTTTTCACCTGATCACTTTGAAGCGATTTATTGACGTTAAAACTCTGGCTATTCTGAACGTTGCAGAAAATGGACGAATGGTTCGTTATGATGGGTTTTCTGGAGCTGATTGCTATGTGTCTGCTGCCCTGGAGGTAATTGGAGCCATTGGATCGGTGTCTGAAATGAGGTTATCTTTCAGACCTGGGCTCTAATGATTCCCGCGACCTCCGGCCCGTACACTTCCAGAGAGCTCTGAGTGGTCTGAAGGTTTCTGAAGTGTCAGAGCGACCTCATAATTCATTTACCGCCGGCCCCAAGCTCACAATAACTTACCCAAATTAATATTTCATGCTGAGATAATATAGATCCTTCCCAATCCTCCCTGTGCCCTCTAGCTGTGTGCGCAGTCAATTGATAATTGTGGAACAGAGGCAGGTAATTAACTCTTCGATGGATTTTTTTTTTTTGTGGCCACATTTCATTAAAGCGCAGTCAGCCTTTGTTGCAATTAATTACATTTTTAGACATTTTCGACAAGAAAACAAGCAAGGGGGGTGGCAGCATGTGCCGTTTGAGTTTGATTTGGCCTCGAGTCGCTGAAATGAAAGGAAATCTTGCACGATTTTTTTGCTATTCTGTCTCTTAAAATATGTGCATAGACATGGGAAATTGGAGAAAATGGAAGGGCTCTCTGAGCCCTCGGAGACGGCAATAAGGAGACAAATTATAAACTTCAGATGGGTGGTCTGAATGTTATTCAGGCATGCTGAAATATTAATGCTTTCTTCACAGACATTTTTATATGGGAAATTGTATAAGCAAGCAGAAAAGTCCAGCAAATTCGGAATATAAAGTTATATACATATGAAAAAGAGAACTGATGGGGAACAGATTCAGTCCCCAAAGACAGATAAGTGAACATTCTGCCACTGGACATTTGGTCTTTGTCCAAGGTCACACTGTGAAGGTGAAGGTGCTACATTAGGCTGGTGCCACACAAAGTGCATCAAGGCTCCTGGAAGCATGGCTGAGGTAGACGGCTGCGAGCCCCCCCCCATCACCTCGCTCAAAATGCCGAAGGGAGGTGTGAATACCTTCAATTTCAGGATGGCGGGGCCA